TCACTATGATGCATTGGGCTTTTGGGTTGGCAGTTTGACATCCCTGGTATAGAATCTCTGGTTTAAACAGGGGGTTGGGTTAGAAGACCTCCAAGGTCCCTTCAAAGTCTGATGACGTTCTGTTCTAAATTATATAGTTTTGTTTTGTTTGTTCTTGCAAATCATGCTAGATTCCTTTCAACTGTCTGGACAAATCCCTATAGTTTTCTTGGCAACAGTGTAGAAAGTGGCTTATTGTTGTTTTTTTCCTAGGGCTGAGAGAGAATGACCAGCTCAAAATCATGCCTAGGGCATAGCCAGAATTCATGGTTTCCTAGTTTGTAGCCCAGTGCCTTTAACCTCTATACCAAACTAGCTTTCTCAACAAGCCATGATCCCAAATAAGTGTCACATGATTGGAAACATTAAAGTATTTGTGTGTGGTCCTCTAATTTCTAATCCAAGTGCCTATCAGATGGAAGAATTCCAAAGCAAAACAAGAAACAATGGATGGAAACTAACCAAGGAGAGAATCTACCTAGAATTAAGGAGAAATTTCCTGACAGGTAGAACAATTAATCAGTGGAATTATTTGCTTCCAGAGGTTGTGCATGCTCCAACACTGGAAGATTTTTAAGAAGAGAATGGACAACCATTTGTATGGAATAGTATAAGATCTCCTGTGTGAGAACTCCAAAGTCCCTTCCAATTCTGTTATTCTGTTAATTTCAAAATTCTCTTGATGGGGACAGAAGCTAAACATACCTGCAAGTCTCAGGTTTCTTCATTTCAGATGTTCTACTGAGTTGCTCCTTCTTTTCACTATTTTTTAAAATGTCTTGTTGATTCCATGAAACAATGCAACAGTCTAAAACTGTTCATGTGGGAACTTCAAGCCTCTTCAACTGGTCTCTGAAGTATCCACTGTGATAACACTCAGTGTCCTAGTTCAAGAATGCAGACCACATTATGACATTTTGCAAGATAGCTTCTAGTTTATAATTGGAAGTTTACCTAGAACAATGTCAGCATCCTTGCAGTAGAATCAAAGTTTATGTGCTGATTGATATACGTGCCAAAATATATCAAATTTGTTATTTGTTTAATCGAGGTAACTAAAAATCTATTATTATTATTTTGCTTCTGCTATCTAAAGTACAGCTGTTTGTTTATCATCTGCATTGGTGACTTTCCAGCTAACTTTGTGCAAAGAGGAATCATTGTCATCCCTTAGTCTTCTGTTCGATGAGAGTGAACTTTGCTTATATCCGGTAACTTTAATTTTTAGAGTGTTCACAAGAAAAGTACACTATGGACTTGACTTTTTATGTAAGAAGTAGTATTAGACTGAACAAATAACAGTTGAGCAAACATCCTATGAAGTGTTGATATGGGACTTCAGAACACGAGATCTCACAAATGTTTTCCATTAAGATATATGAGCTGTCCTACAGCAGAAGCCAACTTTTTCACTTCAAAGGATTGTGTGCCTTCAAGCTAGGCCAATCTTTACCAACACATTATCTCCATCTCTCTTTGTGTGTGTTTCTCTCTTCTGTTTTTCATTAACTGCAACAACGGAAAACAAATAACACCCTGCGAGAAGCACAAGAGCATAACATAAATTTGATTGTTAATCAGTAGAGCCTTAATATAAGTGGCTTATATTTTTTGTCTGTGTCTGTGTTTCCTATTAGTTATAAAGAGCCAGCCAAAGCATATTGTTCACACCTATGTCCTGAAGCAGTGGTCTGTGGCCAAACACCCAACAAAGGGGCAGTTAGCCAGAAAAACTGCTTAAATTAATTTTCTACAAGCTTCCAAATTGATCTAAGCAGATTAAGGATGGTAATAGTTATAAGCCATCAATGAACATTAAACAACATCTTCTAGCTATTAGCCATACAAAGCCTTAGTGATCTCTCTGTATTTCCAGATACAGGGCAGTAAGAATCACTCTCCTTTTTGAAACAAAACAACACCACAGAACTAGATGCTATCCGCAGCATATACAGTATTTGTCTTAGTTCAATTAGGAAAAAGAAAAGAAACAATAGACGCTTAACTTTTATTCCTAGTTCTGCATTAGCCACCTCATTCCATCAGCCTTAAATTGCTTTGTTCACCTTACTATAGCTACTGTCCTTGCGTGAATTTGAATTAGGGTCACCAAATATTTTAGATTATTCCATATATCATAATAGTGTCTTGGGAAAGTCATTCTGATATAGTGGATGAGGCTTTTATGGAGCAGTTAATACACCAACAAAGTGTTCTAAAAATCCCAAACTTGTAAAGCTAATAGAAAATGTTTCCTCTCTAAATGTAATACACTATCATCCAATTAAGAACAAGATTCAGAATACCATTTTGTTTGGCATCTTTTAAGGTCGCTGTTCCTATTTATATATATTTATATTGAAAGCTGGGATACTATGACTTTTTAAAAATTCAATTTGGGCAACTTTTCTAAGAGTAGTTTAAATCTCTTCATTGAGGACCTGCTTAGGTTTGGGCTGAAAATGTATAGAATAGGTACCATTTCAATGTGTATTATATAATTATCTATTTTTACTCAATCCTGATTTGTGGGGAAAAAATGGAGACAATGGGCTTTGTAACAAGGATGACATATCACATTAATTTTGAAATCTTAAATATAGCTTGACTGCTAACATGAAAACGTCACTTATAAATGCTAGTAAAAGAGCATTTTAATTAGTCATACTTGTTATCCAAACTCTTATAGATGAAGTTGTCAGCTATTTCAATGGGCTAATCATCACGTGGCATAATTTAAAATTTAGTTCATGGGTACATCACAGATCTGAAGGTCTGGAGTTGGAACAGTGAGTTGGCTATGGAGAATCAGGATGAATTGACCAAAAAAGTCTGGCTTGAAAGTCACCAGGATAGCTTTGTCAGAAGAAGAGAGCTGGAGGCAGATTTTGGAGAAGAATTTCCTACCTCTTTTATGATTAACAACCAGTTAAGCTGCACTTCCTGCAGATTTAGTCATGTATTATGTAGCTTCAGTCTTGTGCCTCTGTGATAACTATTGAGATGAACAATTAAAAGAGAGGCAGGGACTCTCTTTGTCACAACCATTTATAATAGTAGACATAGCAAGGAACATCTGCCACAGTGGCTGAGTTCCCACCAGTTTTGGAGTTCAAAAACAAACAAACAAAAAGGAATAGATTTTTTGTAAGGTATAAAACTGTTCCTTCTCCCAGACAGATTGGTTTTTCTGCTTTTCTGAATTACCCTCCAGGCCTAGGAAATAATTTGCAAATGACTCAGGGTGGATTATGAAACTTTGCAGCAACCAAATGAAACTTGATAGGCTTGCTGTGTCCTTGTAAATATGGAGAGAAGAAAGCTGTCAACTGAAGATGTTGTAGTTGCCATTGTGATTTTTCTCCTTCCTCTGCATGCTCAGTACATGGCTTTCAAAAGGTGTTGAACCATATCTCATGGAGTTTTTCGTTCATTAAATTCCTTGTTCTCCCAGGGCAGTAGTGGCGAACCTATGGCAAGGGTGCCAGAGGCGGCACTCAGAGTCCTCTCTGTGGGCACGCACGCCATTGCCCCAGTCCTAGGCCTTCAGCTGGGTTTTATAAAACCTTTTCGCTTTAGGCCTCCACCACCTTGTACAAAAAAAAAAGGTTCAATCAATCAGTCAATTTCAACTTCTCACGAAAAAAAAGATCTTGCAAAGTTGGAATTGACTGATTCAACTTTTTAGTCCCACCTAGTCTGCTGTTACCACCGCAGCCACGTCCACCCAATGGGCCACAGCTACCCAATGGGCCACAGCCACCCGGCACCGACGATGCAAAAGTGGGTTTGGGGTTGCAGTTTGGGCACTCGGTCTCTAAAAGGTTCGCCATCACTGTCCTAGGGAGATTTCAATGTGCAGGCAACTGAGATGAATGGATATTTGATAAACCCTTTTTTTTCTGAAGCCATAGAATTACATTGTTAATGTCAAGAACCTGAAACCTAGCATGCTTTCTAATCATGAGCAGTAGAGTTGAAATTAAGATCCAAATATGATGGGATAATGTCTTTTCCAGTTCCATTACCACACTGAGAGGGAGAAAAAAAAACCACACCTGAAGGTATTTATGGAACTTATTCTTTGTGATGCTTGTTAAGACTGATAGATTCCAGCAAGTTTCTCAGAACATGATATTTGAGCAGAGCAAGTCCCATTAAGAAGATCAAAGTCCTGAATTCCATCTTCTCAAGCTCCAGAAGTGTCTCATTAGAAAGTTAAACTACATACAGTAGTTAGAAAGGATGTATTCTGAGACCCTGAACATGTGGCAGAACAAAAGTAGAGCTGCTGGAAAGGAGAAAACATCACAATAATCAAGCACATTGATTTTGGAGACAATGGAAGTCAGCCCTTCTGGCAGATTTATAGGCCCCAAGCCTATATAAATAAATGTGCATTGTAGATTCTTACCATATTTCTCTCTCTGCCTTTGAATATACATCATGATGATGTATGGGATGGAACTGGGGTGAGTATTTATGAGGGAAGCCAAATTACAAATTTCTGCAGGGCTCCTGAAAAAGTGAGTTCGGACACCCAGATAAAACTACTCAAGCTATGCATTTTGAAACTGGCTGGGAAGAAAGAAAAGAATAGGGAAAGAAATCTATTGGAAGGATTAGAAGTCGGTTGCTGTTCTCTGACTATTTTGTTTTTACTGTTGGCTTCTTATAACCCTATCCGGCTCAACTCACAGATTTGTAAGTAATATAGGATATTATTTAAGTCTCCAATACGCTTTCCTACAAAGGGAGCTGACCTTGTAAAGTTGCTCTGGAATTTCCCATGGCTTGGGGACAGGCTGGGGAGCAGTGCAGCTTTTCTCTCTAATCTGGCAGAGCAGGCTATGAATGATAAGGAGCAGAAAGCTGTGAAAAATAGAATATGAAATAAAGAACTGTACTTTATTGTTGCAGGAGAGCCTCCCTCAATCACTGGGCAGCACAAAAGACATGCCTGATGCTCTTAATTGAATTAAGACATCAGTGACGGTGGTCAGCATAGACAGATGGCTCAACGCCATAAAAATGGGCTTATTTCCACATTGAATCCTGGCTAAGGTGGAGAATTTAAGGTAGGTCAAGAAGAGAGTGGGAGGAGGAGGAGGAGGCAAATAGAGGAAGATTTAATCACTTCGATTCCACCTCTTCAAATCTGTTCAGTGCAGAAATTATTGGGAGCCTGGGAGATGTCAGCCTTATCAGGTAAACCAGAAAGGAAACATGACCAGATGAGCTAATTCTATCTTGTTGTAAGGATGTAGTAACAGAATCTTGCAAGTCAGATAGTACAAACCCCCTGCTATTTCTTTTACAGTTGAAAACCTGGACCTCTTTCTCCACCCATTATGCAGCTGCGGGCTATGTCCTCTCTTATTTGGCTGATCCCTAGACAGCCTTTCTTTGTCACGTTTCTCAAAGTCATACCAATACACGAGCATGCCCTTCCTTCCTTCCTTCCTTCCTTCCTTCCTTCCTTCCTTCCTCCCTCCCTCCCTCCCTCCCTCCCTCCCTTCCTTCCTTCCTTCCTTGTTTCCTTCCTTGTTTCCTCTCTCTCTCTCTCTCTCTCTCTTTCTTTCTTTCTTTCTCTCTCTCTCTCTTTCTTTCTTTCGCAATTACCTCTTTCTTGGTATATTAGAAAAGCAGAATTTTTTTTCTATGCTTTGAGTAGGTAAAAATATGGCCAAGTTCAGCACAAGTCATAGGTCAACTAAATCAATTTTACCAAAAATTGAGTCTGCCCATGTGGTTTGAATGTCTTCAGAGAACTACATCGCAGGTGCATGAGATGGCAGCCACTTCTGATGTGTCCTCCACAATTTGAACCTTGCTCTGTCCCGTCCTGTTTCATAATTCGTCAAGTAGTAAAACCCACCTTATTCTACTGAGCTTTCAGCTTTAATTGAATTGTTCTCAATGAGGTGGACTGTTTTGCTTTGTTTGCCTTTTGTTTGCTTACCTATGATTTGTTGAGTCTTCAGACTAGACCAGGTTGCAAACACTGCAAAATGGAATCTTTCAAATCAAGAGGAAGGATCAGTTAAGATCTCATTGGCAGATTACTTCTTCCAAGGGTTCTCCAGGTCAGGGAGCTTCCTCCCACTCTCCAGTTTGGTCAGCTGGGGGCTTCTTGGACCTTTCCTTAGTATTTTTCCCTTTTGCAGATTTCCAGGAAAATAGAAAGGGAGGCACTTGGACCTTCCTGCCTAAATTCCAGAAAGAGCTCACAAAAAAGCTTTAGCCAGATCCAAAACATCAGGTTGGCCATACAACTCTGCAGTCTAACACAAGAGACAGCATTAGGTTGACCCACCAGGTCAACAGTAGATTATATTTTATGAGTTTAAGTTTTTCACTAACTCATGTAATGGCACTGCAAACTCTAGTTTGTGAAACTTACGGTAGGCTGTTGTTAACTGCGTATTAGAGACATAATTTGGGGTTTAAAGGTTTGTGGAGTTTATTAAGGGCCCAACTCTCTTCTCCCACCTCATCATTATAGCTCTGGTTTATCCTTTTTCATAGCAGCTCTTCAGAAGTGAAAAGCTTTAAAAATCAATGCTCCATGGATTTCTCACAATAATGGTTCAGTCTCCAGCTAAGTTAAATGAGCCAGGAGCTTGATTTGTGTATTACAGATATGCCCATCATGCTATTGTAAGGTGGTCTATTACCTGCATGCACTCGCACCGGCTATGGCTGATGGGTTGTATCTTGAGAGGATGGCGAGATGAGGAAGGTCAGTCAAGATAAAGACTCATGCAAAGAATCTTAAGTAGTATTTTAGGAGATCCTGATACTTCTATTTCACAGCTGCTGCTTTGTCTACTTCTTACCTTGGCTTCTCTCCAAGAATAGTCCACCAACTGATTTCATCAATAATGAAGTCTCCTGTTACACTCTCAATGTCACCTGGAAAGGAGAGTTTTTGAAGAGTGAATTGAGCAGCTGCTGACTAGTGGGGAAGAAAACTAGCAACTTAGCAACTGTACATTTCTATAAAATTTAATGGTTGAAAAGGGTTTGACTGGATCAGCCAAAATAGAAGTGTTGACTTCGATGCTGTTCTGCAACACTTGTTTACATGAGAGAGTGCTCTTCTGTTTCCTTAAAAGCTATGAACACCTTAAATATGTCAGGCTGCTTAGCTCAGATCAAAATATTTGTATGTGTGTACAAGAGAAATCCCAAGGGGAGTCAGATAATTTTTTGACAGTTTTTACAAGATGTTCAGGTAGATGTCAGGTGCAAGAAACCAGGAGTTGGGATGGAGTTCAACAGTGTACATGAAATATGTCATCAGTTTGGAATCATTATATTCCTACAAGAGAGATAGATATAGTTAACATGGGAGCATAGTGACTCCACCCTTGGGCTCAGCCTAGTCCTCTCCTGCAATAGGTGTCATGAATGAAGACAGGAGGAATTCATAAGCAATTATTTGCTGAAGGAAAATTGTCTTGAAATAAGACCTATCCTTGCAGCACATTTAACTAAACCATATCACTCAAAGGAAAGATTTGGAGATTCATATTTGGATCCAAACTTTCTAAAAGGATGTAGGCATTGCCCTCAGTTCTCAACAATTTTATTTTTCTAATTTTGTGAGTTGGGCTAGGGTAGACAGAACAGTAGCACGGATTTGATGGGGATGCTGGAAACAGCTGAGAAGGGATCTGAATCATGAACTTCCTAAACCCAGCAAGGAAAACTTTTGACTTTATTTATGGACTTTACAGGTGAGCTTCTTTTCAAGGAGAACATTTGGAATTCTCCCAAGCTGATATGCTCCAGATATATGGGAAATAAAGCTTCAAGAATTTCAAGGTAGTTGGGTTTGAATTTTGGCAATTATAATCCAAACAAGGGGCTCTTGGGATTTGTTCCATGCTTGCTGTATTCTAACATCAACTTGCTTTCTTTTTCATCTGTGGGAAGATTGGATGTTATGGGTTGCAATATTAAGTGGCTGCTTCTCTACACATTGTTTTTTTTTGTTAATGCAAAAACATGCATTGGTCAATACATGTGCATTGTAAACTATTAAACTTTCAGGCTACAATTGCAAAAGCCCACAATGTGGGCCGAGGAGTAATACACACTGCCTTTTATCTAATTCATTGCTTGTGTTAAAGTGAGACACTGTTGTGTTGTTTGGTTGCAAGAACTGGGTATGTCTAGTTTAATGGAAAGAAGGATTAGGGATGATGTGATAGTAGTGTCCAATATCTAAGGAGCTGTCACAAAAAAAGAGGGCATCAACCTGTTCTCCAGAGTACCTGAAGGCAGAACAAGAAGCAATGGGTGGAAAATAATCAAGTAGAGAATCAACTTAGAACTAAGAAGAAATTTCTTGACAGTGAGAACAATTAATCAGTGGAACAACTTGCCTCCAGAAGTTGTGGGTGCTCCATCACTGGAGGTTTTCAAGAAGAGATTGGACAGCCATTTGTCTGAAATGGTATAGGGTTTCCTGCCTGAATAGGGTATTGGACTAGAACAGAGGCTCCCAATGTTTTGGGCACCAGGGACCGGTTCCATGGAGAGAGGTTTTTCTATGGACCGGAGGGTGTATGGTTTTGTGTGCTGCCTGCATCCCACAGATAGGGCTTTGCTTGTTTGTGTGGCCCAGTTGCTGCCATGGCACAGCCTGGTACTGGTCCATGGACCGGGGGTTGGGGACCCCCTGACTAGAATATCTTCAAGGTCCCTTCCAACACTGCTATTCTGTTATCAGGGTTAAATTTGGTTGTTCCTTATGTGGAATGCCCAGGTGATGCCTAGCACCTTGGCATCTATTTTTGCAGCCAATGGACAAAGGGATGAATGAGAAGAGTAGTACCACATTCAATTTTTTTCTCATTTTTTTTATAAACTCAGCACCTGCACTGTGCACACTATATTATTTTCTACATATCCATTTTCTACCATAGCTGTATTGTCCATCTTCTCAAAAAATGCTTAATCCTTATAAATAACTTACAAATAGCTTAATTCTTATAAATAACTTCTTTTTTTTATTAAAAAAGTTTTTATTTTCCATTTATTCATACAAAATACAATTAACCATTGGTACCGCCTGCCCATTCCCCCCAGGCTGCGTCCACCCTCTCTAAACCTTCCCTACTTCCCTCCTCTTTCTCTCCTCCCCTCCTACTCTCTTCCCCTCCCCTTCTCCTCTAACCATCCTATTTCCTCCCTGTAGGGAGGAATTCTTCTAAATAACTTCTAATGCCCCAAATGAATGTTGGAATCGTGGAAATCAAATCATGACAGAAAGGGAAGAATTTAGCTTCAGGAGCTGAAATATATTGAAGTATGAAAAAAGGTGTGATACAACAATGGCTGAAATCCAACAAAAAGAAAAAAATGTGTTAAGGACATTTCTCAAAATTTAATCTCACAATACATCATTCTAATTGTATAGTAGATAAAACTCAAAGAGTGAATGGACTCTTTAAATCTTTTTCAAATGCATGGCTAAATTACTGATACTGATTCCAAACACTTTTCGAACAAAGTTTTTTTTTTTCTCAAATAGCAACTTTTGACCCAGCTTCTACTTATTGGTTACTGTCTGCAACAAAAAGACAGGGAAGTTTTACTGGATTAGTGGATGGCTGGATTAAGGCTGACATGTGAAGAGTGACCTTCAAAAGTGACCCCTTTCCTCACTGGGTCTTATCCTTGACTTATTAATTGAACAGATTTTGCTCCTCAAATCCACTTTTTGATCTTTCACTCAGAGTTGTCTATATCCATGTGCCAGTAGCTGGATAAGATTCATTTTTAATCTACTAAAAATCTTGGCGTTGTAATTATCCATCAAGTTCTTTAAACAGCTTAAAGCAGTGGGCTAACCTTTGATCCTGGAGCTAAACAGCTAAATGTCTACAAACACAACCCCATTGGCCTAAGGGTTAGTGTGGTGCAAAGGTCTACTATGGGAAGTCTCACACACACACCCAGAAGAGAATATTTTGAAGCATATTAAAAAGACAGAATATTATATTTCCCCAAAGAAAAGCAGGCCCAGGTTTTCTTAATAGCCCCAAGCAGAAACTAAGCAGGCCAGCTCTACAGAAATGCAGATAGAAAGACTGGGCAAATACTGCCTGCAGAAACCCATTCAAGACAAGATCTTTTGAAATCCCTTGGAGAAAAACTGATAGCTAACAATAGCAGAGTGATAGGATTAGAACCAGCAACCTCTCACCCATCCAACACAGGACATAGCCATTAGCCCCAGCTCCAGGAAAGCAGGACATGATATTTAGGACATAATAGGATTAACCCACTACCATCAGAATATTAACAGGGCACACTCAGACTCAGGTCAAAGTACATGACACAGGAAATACAAAGCCACAGGAACAGGAACAACTCCAAACACAAAAGCCCAAGAAGGTATAAAAACCCACCACTCCCAGCAACATGAGGTCAGCTGCTCTGACCTAATGGTTCTAATCTTCAATAAACTACAACCTTCTTTCTAAAGAAGTCTCTATTTTGTTTATTCCCAGCTTGGACTGGACCCTGATGAAGATTTTTCTTTCAACAGGTCACACTAGAGATCTGCCAGGCTTTTAAAAGGGATGGACATTTGATTCTTGTGCTGGTGTGGTAAAAGAATTTGAAGGTTCTTGAACTCACCAGATCTGATCTATTGTCCAGCTTTGTTTGGGTTTTACATTGCTGCATATGTTAATACAGTTTAGGAAAGATACATAATAATTGAGTTCAGAAATAGAAATCTATTATCTGATATAAATTCAGCCTTTGAGAACTAATTTATTTGTCTCATGTAGACCTCACAGAAGCTAAATATTAGAGATATACCAAATGCTGGTCAGTGACCATAACAAACATACCCCTGCATAGGGGGAATATCATGTAAGTTTTATGGACAATGCATGCTCATAATGTTTAAGTTTAAACATCAACTGCTCTGAGTGGTGTTCCTTCTTTGTGGATTTTGGGGGTCGATACATGCATGGAGTGGTTTCAGGGTATAGAAGTGGCTTATCAATGGCATTGTCCTTCAGTAGTTGTTTCAGGGAAACAATGGCCTTTTTCTATAACTGTTGGTAGACTCTCTCTTCAGAGTCTCCTAAGTAGCAGTGTCCTTCAGAAAACTGTTCACCTTGATGTTGTAGTTATCTGTTTTCAGGATAATTGTGTATCTTCCTTTATCAGCCTGCAAGATGGTGATGTCACTGCTTTCTTTCTTGAATTTGCACTATTCAGATGACCCTAATGGTGAAGATTAACCCCCCAAGTGGCTTCAATGACTCTCAGAGAGAATGCTGATGACCAGATGACTGCAAGGAATATAAATCCTTCCATTCTCCACCATTTTGCCAGAACTGAAGAACCTTTTTGGATGAGATGTGAAACATCTTCAAAGAAGAACAAAGAAAGTCCAATTGCCTTTTGAAAAAGTACTTCTGGGACAATCATGACCAGGGTAACTGAGAATCTTCATAGACACTAAACATTTGTTATGAAATACAGGTGCCAGCATTGTGTGGACAGATCTGGACTTCTTACAGGAATAAGAAACTTGGTTTCTTGAGAGAATTGAAAAGGTCACATTTTTCATTAAAAGATCTCCTTCTCCCAGATGCAAATTGGGGCAATGTTGATCTTGTCAAGCTGCTCAAATACATCACCCATTGTAACTTGACTTCCAGCTAGTGCCATAAATCTGCATTTAAATTCTAGTCCAGCCAATCAAACTGACACAGTTGTTTTCTATGATAAGCTAAGGAACACGTACAATTTCAAATTTATAAAGTCTTGGTTTACAAGTCTCTCTGACATGCCCTGGATTTACTTGAAAGCAGATGACATGATACACAACCTCGCCTTTCCCTCCCATGTCTTCCAAAATAGCAATTTGCCCTTTCAGGACCTGCCATCCCTATCCCCGCTCTGCTGATTAAACAAGGGGAGTCTCAGATAATGATGTTTCATTCACTTGGATTGGCAGCAGCACAAAGAACCAAAATTAAAATAAACTCCTGCTTCCAGATGTATCTGGGACAAATTGCCAGTGATGGAGAGGAAAAATAATAATAAAGTCTGCAATACAGACTGGCTAACATATTCAGTGATCTACTAGAAGAAGTGACTACTATCTATAACAACCTATTTGAAAAGCAGATTTTGAAGCAGGATTATTGGATTACACTCGTGTATCATCACTGGAGATAGTTCTTCCCTGCTTCTGTGAAAGGTAAACCAAAGCAGAATTTTACTTTAAAAGGAAAATATACATCTGTCAAGGTAATGTTGCAGGATCCAATCTGGATCAGTCACTGGGACCAGAGGTTTAGTCTTCCAAGCTTTTAGACTTGTGCTGGAGCACAACATCAGGGAATTTCTCTCACACCAGTATGTGTGCCTTGGCTATTCTATGGGTAGTATTTATGTGGGGCCTGGTTATTGTGTGTTTTTTAGGTGTTAATTGGGGTGTTGATGGCCAATTGTTAAGTCGTTGGCTGTGGTTTCCTTGTGCTGCCAAGTCCCCAGCTCCTAAATATCTGATAAGCTGGTGGTAAATCAGCATTCCTGTTGAGTTTCCTGTTGGAAAATGAGGCCCTTTTCAATCAACAGGAGTGCTGGTTTACCACCAGCTTATCAGGTACTTATGAGCCGAGGAGTTGGCAGCACAAGGAAACAACAGCCAACGACTTAACAATTGGCCATTAACACCCCAATCAACAATGAAAAAGTCACACACAATTACACACTACCTAAATTCTACACATAAAATAGTCCAAAGCACATATTCCAGTAGAGCAGTGATCCTCAACCTTTCTAATGCTGTGACCCCATAATACAGTTCCCCATATTGTGGTGACCCCCAAGTGGGTGTGGCCACCAATAAGAGGGAGTAGGACAGCTAGGGAAAAGGGAAAAAAATGGCAGACAGCATGGTTTGGCGACCCCTGTGAAATGGTCATTCGACCCCAAATGGGGTCCCGACCCACAGGTTGAGAACCACTGCAGTAGAGAGAAGTTCCATGAAGATGGGCTCCAAGCATAAGTCCGAAAGCTCGGAAGACTAAACCTCTGGTGGTGGTGACTGACCCAGATTGGATCCTTTACTTTAAAACAGGGGGGTTCAAACTTGGCCCTTTTATGACTTGTGGACTTCAGCTCCCAGAATTCCTTAGCCAGCATGCTTGGCTGAGGAATTCTGGGAGTTGAAGTCCACAAGTCATAAAAGGGCCAAGTTTGAAGAGCCCTGCTTTAAAAGACTCACACAGTGAGAATGGAAGTGGCCATTGGTGTGTTGCATACCACTGGTCAGATACAACATAAAAAGAGACTGTTGCTATTTTAGCCTGAATGTCTGGCAATTGGCTGGAATGGGGGTCATGGGCTAGTTATAGAATGTAGTTTTTGTACTGAGTGGGGAAGGGAGTAATCAGCGAAAGAAAAAATGAGTAAAATAAAACTCTCGGTTGATACATAGTACTTATCTGTTCTCCGCCTCCCACCCCAGGGTCATTGGAATAGTACGTGATTGTATTTTCACTGTCTTTTGTGCTTGTGTTTGCCCTGGTGATTTCTTTTCCATGGAATCTCACCTGTTATTTCTCATAGCTTCTTAAAAATGTCTCTTCTGAAACTTAATCTCCTGCACAACTCAGCTCCAAATTCTCTTTCTGTAAATATTTTGAACTACAAGAGGATGTAGTCACAATTTGCTAAGTTCTCCTTCCTTTTACCTCTCTTACCATCTCTTCTTTCTTAGTTACAATCCACTCTTGGAGATCTGGTAGCTGCTTTGTAAAAGAAAAATAATCTAATATGGTTGATTATGAAGCTTTTTAAGGCCGAGCATTCAGGCTATTTTAGATATTCCAGTAGGGGCAAATATAATAGAGACAGAGATAGAAAATTAAGACTTTGCTGCTAATGAAAGACAGCCTACATTATATCAGTTTTGAGAGGATGATAGATTGAAGCTTCTTTGAATTCCTCAATGACAATTCATCTTACTTGGATTTTTGTTGTTGTTGTTCAGAATCAGCAATTAGACTAATTGGGAAACAAGAACCCAGTCTGTTGTTGCCTTTAGTTTAGTAATCATTGAAAATCTCAAGTGTTAATTAAGACAGTTCAAGGATGGCCATTGTCTCAACATTTTCCTTAGTTACTGGATGCAACAGGAAAACTAACTGTAATTAAATCATGGGATGAGTTAACAATATCAGGCACAGCTTAGCCAAAGATATTGGACCTTTAAGTGCTACTGATATTAATGAAAGAGATTTTAGCTCATGTTTGATTTTTCCGTTACACTCTGCTGAATGAAAGCACGTTCCATTTCTGCTGATTAATGTCTCATAATAAGAATGAACCTAAGGATAAAGAATACCCTTTAAGTAGTGTGTGCTTGCAGTATTTTATGTTCAGTTAAAACAATAATGGTGGAGAATTATGAGAGTGTGGGCAGTATCCTGAATTCTTTGGTTAGTTCTTCAGTCAGTAGCTGTACTGTAAGGATCTGCCTCAGCTATTCCCCCAGGAAAGCACAACTCAGAAAACAAGAGGATCTTTTACTGAGAGAAAGTGATTGCAGAGTAAAAAGATGGAATCTGAAGTTCCCATGCAAAAGCGTTAAGCTAAAAGTCCCACCCTGTGTTCATCAGGAGCCAACCCACTGGTGCAAAGATGTTATGAGAACTTCAAGTTAAAAAGGTGACAAGCAATCATGTTCCCACCCGTTGGTCAGCAGGAGTGAACACAGATGGCCCTGAGGGCATTTCCTCTTCCATAATTCCCCCTCCCTAATTCCCATGTGAATACATCAAAGCCAAATTAGAAACAAAAGCTAGCAACACAGAGGCATCTTCAATCCACACCCATTTGTGCTCCCCCTCCTCTTTCTTATGGCAGTGTTCCAAAGGGACACTTTGGACAACTACATGTTCTATCAAAATCATGGCTGTTTGACAAGATGGTGGAAATGCTATCCAACTTTGAGGATTGTCTGATAACAAGTTCAGGCATACATACCGTATTTTCCCCAAAGTAAGACCTACCCCAAAAATAAGCCCTAGCTTGATTTTTGGGCATGGGCCTAATATAAGCTCTACCCCCTCAAAAAATAAGCCCTAGTTTTGGGGCAAGATGCATGCCTAAAAATCAAGCTAGGGTGGGGTGGGGGACAGAACTGTCCCACACCGCCCTGCACCTGCTTACCTTTCAACCAGGCCTCTCCTCGCCGGCCCCTTCTTCTGCGGCATCCCCAGCTCCGCATTTTGCAGTCAGAGGCCTTTCCAGAAGGCCTGTGCAGCCAAGAACCAAGCTACGGATTCAATCTGTAGCTCGGTTCTCAGCTGCAGAGGTCTTCCGAAAAGCCTTTGATGAAGCTGATCCTTCAACCGCAGAAGAAGTGGGCCAGCTGGGTGGGACTGTTGGTGCCGGAGGTGAGTGGAAAAGATACCCCCCAAACTGAAAATAAGACCTGGTGCCTCTTTTGGAGGCAAAAATAAAAATAAATAAATAAGACCGGTTCTTATTTTGGGGAGAACATGCTAGCATAATCTGATCTGCCCAGACAAAATTAGTGATAGCAAAGTGATACCAAAACCTCTATCATTGGTAATGAGCTGGAGTTTTGCAGCTAAGTCTGGTTACCCCGGAAGTTCTTTGCTGAATAGCTGGCTAATGATTGTTTCCAGATGAGAAAAAATAATTGATGGCATGCCAAGTAGCTTAGTAGGAATTAGCAACTTTCTGAAGCATTCTGTGGTGAGATTGGATAGTTTACGGTTTTAAGAATATTAAATTGTATTAATTTCTGTAGTTTACACTCACCAAATTTTATGAATCATGGCAAGAAACTCAAAGGATTAGGCAAGCAGATAGGACTTTTAATGTTTTCCTCCCAGTCAAACAACCAACAAGGAAGTCAAACAAGGACAGTGTTCTATTAATTGCCCCCCCCCCCAAAAAAATCAGATCTGAATCTTCTTGTGGAATAATATTTGGTCAGAGGAAAATGAAGCTCCCAGAGTCACTTCAATAATGAGACAGGCAGCATATAATTTAATAAATAAATGTTATAAATAAAATGAAGAATGAAATCCTCTCCCCCCCCCCTTTAAGTTGGTTCCACTTTACCAACTTTATCATTCATCATTCAAAACTAGATGGGTACTACCAGCTTAGACTGAACTACAGCTGTCTTCACAGTGACACTCACTGAAGGAAGAGAAGAATTAATTTACACCATAGACATGCTTCAATTTGCTCTGAGTTTGATTCTTGCCCTTCAAAGCCTACTGTTGACAATTGGTAGCACGATTCTGGAGTGTTGCTGATTCAGTCTCCCCCCCCCCCAAAAAAAAGGGGGGGCTTTGGCAGACTTGCAAACAGAAATGTTTGCCTTCCAAAATCTTTTCCCCAGACCCCATATTCCAGTTGGCAGGTACTACATCTAGACTCCTCTGTGCTCCAAAACACCTTTTTTTAGATCGGAACTAAATCCTAGCGCAGTCCCACTGTCCCTATAAAAATACATTTTTGCCAGCACATTTAAGAAAGAAACCTTGTAAAGTAAAGTAAGGGGGGAAAAGAAGGAACCTTGAAGAGTCTAAAGGTTTCAACTGCCTGTGGAAAAAAACAGACTCAAAAGAGAATTAAACGTTTCTGCAACAGAAAATGATGTTATTTCCTCCAATGGGTCAAAGATTACTGTGGAAGTTCTCATCACCAACCATTCCAGATGCTAAAACCAGAATTCAGAGGCTCTGCTTTCTAAAAATGTGATAAGTGCAATGACATTTCTCCATCCTCTCTCCTTTGGAAGCTCTCCAGATTAGTTAAAAACAACGGGGCGAAATGCACAAGGTGTTCTTTAACATCCAAATAAAAATTGGCTTTATAATTCATTTGCAATTTACTTCTGAAAGAAATAAAGGCTCTCAGGAGATGTTTCTTTGCCTTCAGGTTTAGTCTTGTTTAATCTTAATTATAGTCATTTGATATACACAAACAAACATAATATAATATATGCTGCCACCTAGCCAGATCTTTGAGAAAGTGCAGGCATCTTATGCTTAGGGTATTCAAAGTTTAGAAAAATCAGCTTCAGAAAAGTTTTATATGAGTACAACTATCTCCTCTCAGTGAGAAGAGATTTCTGGCCTTTTAGTATTCCTGTTTTAATAGGTCAGAGTTCAGGAAAAATTTAGAGGGGCTGTACAAGTCCAGCAT